ATAGATAGTCTAGTTCAGTAGTTTCTTCGCTGTGCCAAAATGCCCGGGGACCACCCAGATGCAACATGGTGCATCGGCCGGTGGTATTCGAACTCGGATGGATATCGATTTCTTCAGTCGATAGTACAAAGAACGACCCCTACCACACCACCCGGGCGGACCCCACCCAAGCATTAGTTCAGAGTCTTCTAGTGCAGGATCTCCCAATGGTTAGACATAGTACAGAGCTGACACATGCATTGACTAAGTCACCACATACGCCCTGGACGTCGTTAGTCTGGTTAGACTGTGGCAACTAGCCAACTCAGCGTCCATGCGCAGGGGCTGCAAGTGGTACGACAAAAAAATAATTCAAAGTTATCAAGTTAAGGTGGCTTTAATAGTAAAATAATGAATAATAATGGCTTTGGATAGCTAGCGCCTTAAATCTGGGAGTATTCAGATACTCCAGCCCCCACTGGCGGGGAGTGCGTGCCAGTGAAGGGTGGATCGCTGTCCTAAGGAAAGGAAAGTAGGCCGGAGGTCTAGACCGTTAATCTAGTTAGTCCCAAGTCGGGCGCACCAGGGGAGGTACCTCATCCCATCTACCATGTGGACTGGCCATCCAATGAGGTAGTCGATGGGCACGGTGTTATACGCAGGTCTACTTGCTCGACGGTGGCTCACGCCATTGGGAAGTCACCCTTCCCCCCTTTCAGTCACACTAGTTTGACAACTTTGGGAATTCATGTTTTAGTTTCAACGCTATAAAAATCATGGGAGGTCACCTGCTACTTAACAACTACGCAAGCTGGACTAGGCATAAACAAAGGGGCAAAATTCAAAAAGGCATCTAGTCCGACATCAAACCCGTTTTCAAAACAATTCTTAGTTCATCTTATTCATTTCGAATGTTAGAAATTCCTACAATCAATTACTTCAAAAAAAAGTAGTCTTGAGGCAAAAAATTACATAACAGTAATAAACAATAACACATTTAACTCATTTTTCCTTGTGATTGTTAACATTCATTTCTACTCTACAGTGTCATTATTCGCCCACATTGCACTAACTATCCACTTCGTGACTTTCTAATGAAATGGTCAGGCATTAACTCGAACAGAAGATTTCAGGTTAAAAGCCTATACTCGGGTATTATTTACGGTTATTCACTGTAAAAATGTCAGCGAATGGCTATCTCAAAGGCCAAATCACGAAGGCTGCAAATGCCTTACGAGCGAAAATCTCATCGGTCGAGCAAGAATTGGATGGATCTGCTCCGGATGCAAAGGTTTGCGGAGATACCATACTACTTCAGAAAAAATTTAAACTTCAAGAAGCAGTAATGAGTCTTAAATATTTGATGAAGTCTCTGAAAGATAATTGGAAGCGCGCTGAAAACCACGCTGCCACCAAAACTGATAGTGATGAACAGTACACCCTCTTGCAGGAGTTCACAGACCATTGGGACGCCAACGGTTCGGATGAACTCTTGATAAGAGGTGAACTTTCGGTTTCTCTATTAGAAACAATAATTTCTACCCTCAGTACTTCACAGGAAAAAGAGACAGAGCACGCAGAACATAGTTCAGTAGGACATCTAGACCAGACGGTTCAACTGCCTAAGCTAGAACTCCCTGATTTCAGTGGAGATATGAGTGCCTTCCCAGACTTCTGGGAATTGTACTCCGTCGCGATCCATTCCAACCCGACGTTATCTCCCGCTACCAAATTCATACACCTCAAAAGCAAACTCAAAGGCAAGGCCAAAGATCTGATCGCTTCTGTTCGCTTATCTCCGGAGAACTATCAAGAGGCAATAGATCTTCTGCTCAGTACCTACAATCGTCCACAAGTTCTGCGAAACAGACTAGTCGAAGAGCTGGAAATGTTACCTCCCGCAGATAGTACTCCAACCGATCAACGTAGTACACTTTGTAAAATAAAGGCCATATGGGTCCAGCTGAAGAATCTGAAAGAACAACCAGGATCTACTACAACAATGCGCATAATTCGTTCTAAATTCCCACAAAAAACCAGAGAAAAGGTAGGAGAAATGAGGCAAAAGAACGATGAGTGGACCGCAGAAGAATTGATACTCGCCTTCGATCAAGTCATCGATCGACTGGAGATTATGGAGGACAATGATCCACTGCTGTCTGCCTCACAATCGTCCACGATCAATAATGTATGGGCAGGCTCACACTCTTCCAAGAATGCGAAAATAAGAGAACACACAAAAGGGCGAAGAGTTAGCCCATATAGGCCGCTTCATTCCACTGGTAGTTCACATAAGTCACGGGAACTTTCTCGGTGTGCCTTCTGCGTACGCACAGGTCATAGCGCCTACGATTGTAACGAAGTCCTATCCCCATACGCAAGACGAAAAATGACAGCGGAACTGAATCTGTGCTGGAAATGTCTTAAAAGTGGTCATCGTAGTTCACAATGCAACGCTCAGCCATGTCTGAAATGCGGCAGAGCACACAATAGCGCTCTTTGCTACGTCAATAGTAGATCGCGTAGTAGCAGTAGATCCAACAGCCCAAGACAACGTCAGCCATACAGGAGAAGTTCTACAGACAGCTATTCGTCTAGTTCAGGTTTCAGGAATAGATCCAGGACGGTCTCTCGATCACCAAGTCCTAACTACAGAGAGAAAGCCTTTCAAAGAAATAATAAGACAAATAGGAAAGGATCACCACACCCCAAAGTTGGGTTCAAGAATCTTCCGACTAGTCACATCTACTCCACTCCATCGTACACAACGCACGAAGATACCCAGGAAGTGGAGTATACTGCAAACCACTCAGATGTACAAGAAGATGATCACTCAGAAGATGACTTGTTCCTTGTGAACGCAGTCCAGACAATGAAAGCATCCTCGCACATGTCATCAGATCATAACATACCACAACTTGCTGCATGTAAAGTAGCCAGTTTGGCAAATCCCCCTCGCCTTATGATAATAAAGGCAAGTACACGCAATTATAACAACGACTCCGACCAGCTAGTGACCGTATTATTGGATAGCGGTTCACAGCATAGTTACATCAAGCGAAATGTCGCTCAAGATCTGGGGTTACAATTCACATGCCCCCAAGAAATAACTACAATGACATTCGGAGGACATGCGCAAACCGAAACATCTTACCGCGTGAACGTTGTACTTCAAAACATCCGAAATGGCAACTCAACACCTCTCCACTTGTGGACCCGCAATTTCATAACAACTGTTTCCACAGATGGAGATGAAGAGAAAAGACGCAAACACTTCAGAAGCAAAGTCGAAGTAGACATTTTAATCGGAATGGATTATTACTGGGACCTGGTCGACTTCAAATTCAATCGTCGGCTTCCTTCCGGACTGGTGGAATGTCGAACAAAACTTGGACCCGTACTGTCAGGTTACTCGCCATCACCATCATCTACAGTTCATTCTGCTCTCGGACGTCCTAAGGATGAACAAGATTCAAACAGAGAGACTGAAAAGATAGTACAACATCTTTTTGGTCTAGAAATGGCTGGTATGAAAGAAGACAATGAGGACGCGGATAACGAAGTGATAAAGCGGTATCGTGACACAGTACAAATAATCGACGGCCTGATTCACGTACAATTCCCATGGAAAACGGACCATCCACATCTGGCAGATAATAAAGCTTTAGCACTTCGCAGACTCGAAAGTCAATACGAAAAACTACGACACAATATTCCACTATGGACAGAGTACTGTAAAACGTTTGAGCAACAGCTTAACTCAGGCATAATAGAGGACGTAAAAAAGGAAGAGCCAGCCAACAAACGGGTATACTACATACCGCATCAGGCTGTCATCAAGGAAGATAGCGCCGCCACCAAAGTACGCATAGTCTTCGATGCTTCAAGTCATATGAGAGGCGTAGCAAGCCTCAACGATTGCATTCATCAAGGACCATCCCTAATACCCGACCTGTGCGGAACACTATTAAGATCACGACTTAGTCCAATCCTCATTATAGCAGATGTAGAGAAAGCATTCCATCAAATACGGTTGCAGGAAGATCAAAGGGATGCTACAAGATTCCTCTGGCTGAAAGATCCCACTAAAGGCCCTACGAAAGATAATATTCGTATACTAAGGTTCACTCGCATTCCATTCGGAGTAAATGCCTCACCATTTCTACTCAGTATGTCAATTAAGTACGCTCTCGAAAAAGGCGTTATCACCTGCTTTAATGAAGAAATCTTAGCAAATACTTATGTTGACAACGTGATCATTGGCGCCCACAGCGTTGCCGAAGGTGTTACAAAACAGAAACAATGTAAAGAAACATTCAGGGCAATGA